CCGGGCATTGTGGTGGGCATCTGTAGTCTCAGGTACTTGGGAGGCTGAGGCAAGAGAATTGCTTAAGCCCAAGAGTTTGAGGTTGCTGTGAGCTATGACATCACGGCACTGTACTGAGGACGACAAACTGAGACTCTGTGTCAAAATATAAAAAAGAAGGGCAGGGCTTGTGGCTCAAAAGGGTAGGCCGCCGGCCCCATGTGTGGCGGGTTCAAACCCAGTGCTGGCCCAAAACTGCAAAAATAAATAAATAAGAAAAAAATAAATCTGGAAGGTTGTAAACATGGTTTTCATTTATGACCCTAGACTGGATTAGCTGGGGAACATGAGAACAGAGCTATCCACCTTAAAGGAAGAAGAGAAAGTAATGTTAACTCTTTGTCCCTTGCCTGTTACTCGTTTTCTTTTCTTTTCATTTCATTTCATTTCTCTACATGTTCTTTTCATCATTTTTGTTTCTCTAAGTCTTTTCCTGTCTTTATTTCTCTTTTTTGTATTTTTCCTCTTTTATCTTGTGCATTCATCTTTTATCTTGGTTCTGTCTTTTCTTCAGTGTCTCATCAAAAATGATAACTTTCTTATTCTTGAGGTGTTTGTGGTAGTAAGTGTGAATTAAAAAGCTATTAACATAAGGCCTCTGTGATCCATAACGTTATTAGTATGACCCCAGATCCTAAAGAAATCTGAGGATTAATTACTGTTTTTTCCTGAACGTTGAATTCCTTGACCTGCAAACACATATTTATTAGCCTGACTCAAACAATGAAGCTATTAAAACTTCGGAGGAACATTGTAAAACTCTCGTTGTACCGACATTTCACCAACACACTTATCTTGGCAGTGGCAGGTAAGTCTAGGAATTTCTTCCTGCAGTTTAAGTGTGATCTTTTGAGAACAGAGATTCTTGACCCAAGAGGTCCTGGGTGGGCATAGAAAGTTTTGTGTATTTCACTTGGGAAAACAGTTCTTAGTTTTTGTCAAATTCTCAGAAAGATCTATGGTTTTAAAAAAGGTAAGAACCATTTTATTTATAATAGTTGAAAATCAACCTCATGTAATTTCATCTCATAGTTTATCCCATTCCTGTCTCCATTCTTTTTCTGAGGCGTTCTTTTTCTGGAGGTAAGTTAGCTTGAGTGGCAAGTAGCAGTTAGATTCCTTTTAGAAGATATTACCGCATGCTTATTTGGTTTTATTATATAGCTATAGAATTTTAGATTAGAGTACATTTTTACATATGTCAGTAAGCATACATAAAATACAGACATTAGGTCAATAGCAGCCAAACTAGGCTAATGTGCCTGCCTCTTGGTCCTTATGCCAGCAGTAAAATAGTGAGATCTGATTTATAGTTGGAACCAGCTCTTCTGTGTTGTAGTTATTTTATCAGTGATTTTTTAAAAATCTGAACTGCCAAGGAAAAATTAGTATTACTATACTAAAGATAAGGAAGAAATTATATTGATAATATTGGAAAAAGTCATATTTCCAATACCTTCTGTTTTAATTATGAGGGTTACTACTAAAGTAGCCAGAGGGCAAATAAAATTACTACAAAACTCTTATTTAAGCACAGAAAAGATTGACAAGAGTATGTATTTGTCATTGGGCCTTGCTGCTAGTAGGTGTTTAGTAAATATGTATTGAATACATTTGTTAATACAACTGATGGAAAATGAGGATGTATTGAGGGCTCAGGGTGTGTGGAACTCCATTTAGCCAGAAGTGGTAGAATGTAATTGGGGATGTAAACCAGCATTCATATTCTGACCAGGATTTTCATTTACTGTTAGCATCTATTGTGTTTATCATCTGGACAACTATGAAGTTCAGAATAGTGACGTGTCAGTCGGTGAGTTATAAACACATACATTTATGAATGGTGTGCTATCTTATATACAGATAATGATGTTTATGACAGTAGTAAGTTTCTTATAAGCTGTGCACCTTAAAAGAAATCTCTTCTTTTTGGAGAGAACTATGGAGAATCCTCAAAGATCTAAGGTGTTTGTGTGACTTTGATCCTGCTGTCCCATTACCAGGCGAACAAAAATCATTTTGTCACAAAGACATCGGCACTAGAATGTTTTTTGCAGCTCAGTTCATAATTGTCAAGTTGTGGAAGCAACCTAAGTGCCTATCAACCCATGAATGATCAACAAACTGTGGTATATGTATACCATGGGATATTATTCAGCCATTAAAAAGATGGAGACTTTATATCTTTTACATTTACCTGGATGAAGTTGAAATACATTATTCTGGCTCGGCACCTGTGGTTCAAGTGGCCAAGGTGCCAGCCACATACACCTGAGTTGGTGGGTTCGAGTCCAGCCCAGGCCCACCAAACAATAATGACGGCTGCAACCAAAAAATAGCTGGGCTTTGTGGCAGGCACCTATAGTCCCAGGTACTTGGGAGGCTGAGGCAGGAGACTCACTTGAGCCCAGGAGTTGGAGGTTGCTGTGAGCTATGATGCCATGGCACTCTACCCAGGGCGACAGCTTGAGGCTCTGTCCAAAAAAAAAAGAAAGAAATACATTCTTCTTAGTAAAGTATCACAAGAATGGAAAAATAAATATCCAATGTACTCCATACTAATATGAAATCAATATAAACAGTTGCATGCTCTTAAGAACAATAAAACACTAATATAGTCCAGTTTGGGGGTAGGGGGAAGTGGGAAGAGGGAGGATATTTGGCAAAAGGAGGGCGGGCATGTGGTGGGATCTCACCTAATGTGCACAGACTTTACCCTGGAAGTGAGATCAATGTAACCTAAAAATTGTACCCTCATGTGTACCCTGTATTAATTTGATTTAATTTAAAAAAGAAAAAGAAAAAAAGATATTAGTATTAAAACCCTCCATTGTGAGGGTTATAAACATACTTCTCTCCTGCTAAGTATTCTGTTTTGTCATAGTGCTTGGTATAGTAAGTGGTATGGTATAGTAGTTTTTTTTTTTGTTTTATGGCTGTATATTCAAGTATTGGGAGAGAATTTTTTTGTTTGTTTGTTTTTGGCCGGAGCTGGGTTTGAACCCCCCACCTCTGGCATATGGGGTCAGTGCCTACTCCTTTGAGCCACAGGCGCCGCCCAGGAGAGAATTTTTTGTAAGTGATAATCATCATAGCCTATCATGGTCTTGTCTTAACTTAAAATCTTGACCAAGAAGTCATTAAGTGCTGTATGTGTGAGTCATCATCTGAGTTGAAACTATGTCCTTAGGATCTCAGCTCATGGACTGTAGCCAATAGGATTCCTTTGGAGGCAGCTAAGGCTCTATTTTGATAAAAATAAAGAAATGAAAATTATAAAATACAACAACTTAGTGTTATTTTCTCTTACCCTATATAAAATATTTCCCTAAGGACTTTTAGCTGTGACGAAGCTTTGATAAATATTTCATTCAGTGGCCTTTTCTTTAACAACAACGATGCCTCTCTTCCTACAAAGGAAGAAACTATGTTCCTTCACTTTGTTTCCCTAGCATTTAATACTGAGCACATAGCAGGCTCATGGTAAATGTACCTTGAATGAATGAATAAGTGATTCTTTTTCTGTGCCAAGGGCTTTGTGAACAGAGGGTTAAGGTCATGTATATAAATGTACTTTCCCCCTTATTGTAGGACTGGCGGGAGCTGTGGGTGGATGATGCCATTTGGCGGTTGCTGTTCTCCATGATCCTGTTTGTCATCATGATTCTCTGGCGACCATCTGCAAATAACCAGAGGTTAATTTACTTTGCTGAACATTAAAGGGCATTTCGTCAATTAACAATGGTACATTAAGGGACAGTGTTAGGGCCATGTCATATAATTGAAGGAACACTGGGCCTGGAATCAGAAAAACTGCATTCCTGCCTCAGCTGTCCTCTTCACTTGCTTTGTGTTTTTGGCACACTTCCTCTTCACCACTCTGTTCTCAGTTTCCTCTCCAAATAATAAGGAGAAATGAAATAAAGTGATACAAGGTGCGCTTTTTTTTTTGTAGTTTTTGGCTGGCGCCAGGTTTGAACCCATCACCTCTGGTATATGGGGCCAGCACCCTACTCCTTGAGCCACAGGCGCCACCCTAAGGTGCCTTTCAACTCAGACATTTCCTGATAATATTCAGGTATACCTTGGAGATATTGTGGGTTCAGTTCCAGACCATCAGAGCAAATATTGCAAAAAAGCGAGTCACACAGATTTTTGGTTTCCCCACGCACACATGTTGTATTTACACTATACCGAAGTCTATTAAGTGCTCAATAGTATTATTTGTTTTTATTTTTTATTTTTAGCATTTTTTAAATGTACATCATTCCTTAATTCAAAAATACTTTATTACTACAAAACATACACAGACACAAAGTGAGCACATGCTATTGGAAACATGGTGCTGTTGACACTTCCTTGATTCAAGGTTGCCATAGACCTCCTATTTGTAAAAATCGTGGCATCTGCAAACCTTAATAAAGTGAAGTGCAATAAAATGAAGTATGCTTGTATTTATTTAGTAAATAAAGGAGGTAGATATGTCACTTGTAATGAGCATCTCCTGCCTGGTGTCCAGAAGGAAAGAAAAATGTCTATAGTCAGCAGCCCTGATTACTTTGTAATAATAGAAAGGATAAAATGAAAACTTACATGATTTTGAAATTTAAAATTCACATGTGAATTTGATATGTCTGACTTTAGGCAAATACTGATTATTTAATAACTGCCCATCTTTTTGTGAGTATCCATTATTATTACCCTTTTTTCTTCCTCTTTTACATTTAGAAAGTTAGGAGCTTAAATTAAACAATCACACTACCAAAGTAAGAAAAAGGAAAGGTGGTGTAACTATGATCAGACATAGCAGTAAAAGACTGGGAAAGAAAAGTAGGGACATCCTTTTACCCCGTGAAAATAGACTTGATGTCTTTTCAAACTATATATTTAATATAGGTTCATTTAAAAAAGTCAAACAATGGAGAAAAACCATGAAAGAAAATAACCGAGATTTGAAACCACACTGTTCAGAATGATCCTAGACATTCTGGAGAACTATCTATTAATTATGTATGGTGCCAGCCACATACACCTAAGGTGGCGGGTTCGAATCCAGCCTGGACACGCCAAACAACAATAATGGCTGCAACCAAAAAATAGCCGGGCGTTGTGGTGGGCGCCTGTAGTCCCAGCTACTTGGGAGGTGGAGGCAGGAGACTCG